ACTTAAAAAAAATTACAAATAAAAATAAATCATGTAATGTGTCCCGATCCATTTAAAAGAAGTAAAAACAAAAGAAGAGATCTCCTTTCTACTCCTTCCCCTTCATTAAATTTATTACACTGAAGATGCTATCTATCCTCTCACTACCCTTTCCTTTCCCTTCGACTTTTCCAATCCACGACGTATTGTGTAAAAGCGCCATTGCCCACACCTCAAAGAAACACCAAGCGTCATCTCTCACCTCTTTGCTGATTCCCATATATTGGGAGTCCGCACCGCATCGATCGTCATGTCCAGGTCCAACCACACCTACTTCCAGGTCTGCTTCTGCTTCCGCCGGCGGTTCAAGGCCCCCGTCTCGGAGGCTCCTGCCGAGATCAAGACGCTATTCGAGCAGTACTCCGAGAATGGAATCATGACCGTTGATCAACTACAGAGATTCTTGATCGAGGTCCAGAAAGAGGATAAGCCAACCAGAGAGGACGCTCAGAGGATCATCGATGGCTTCAAGCACTTTCGCCATACTGGTCTCAACCTCGACGCTTTCTTCAAGTACCTTTTCAGTGTTGTCAACCCTCCTCTCTCTCCGTCTCTTGTGGTAACTGTGTCACTCTGCCTCTGTTCAGAATTAGCCGTTGCTTTCACTTTTTCTTGCTTTTCGTTTTTTTTTTTTTTCCATGAAATTTTGTGTCATGCTTTATATACAGTATCAAACTTTTATATATATATATATCAGAAAATTTTTAAAATTTTTTAATATTATTTTTTATATAATTTTATATATTATTTAAATAAATAATATAATATTAAATATATTTACTTGTTTAATAATATAGGATTGTATTAAAAAATAATATTAAAAAATTATTACTAAGTTAACATCGCCACTCTATATAAAATAAATATCTACTAATTCGTTCTCTACGCTGCAAAGGCTTCAAATGGAGGCTCCCCTAACAAGGGTGCTAATGATTGGTTTTTTACTGCAAAACATTTATTTTTGAATATTTATTTCTGAAAATGGGGTTATGGTCACCTGGTTTTTTTATTTTGTTTAGAGAATTTCAAGTATTATTTAATTATTAAAAGTAATTAATAATTAATATTTTTATTTAATAAAATTAAAATTAATATATAAATTAATATTTTAAAATATTATAACTAAGTGTAAAATTATAAATTAATCAAATCAATCGAAACAAACACAAAAGTATTTATATATTTTTGGGTGGCCTTAACATAAGGCCGCCGGCCATAACCATGCTCTCTATTTCTATCTTTAAAGTATTGTTGAATAGTTTTCCGTTATTATTCATATGTTTACTTCTTTGTTTTCATGGTTACAGGCACACCATGATATGGCTGCCCCTTTGTCTCATTATTTTATATATACAGGCCATAATTCCTATCTTACTGGGAATCAACTAACTAGTGACTGCAGTGTTGTTCCCATCATAAACGCTCTTAAGAGAGGCGTGAGAGCGATAGAATTGGATTTATGGCCTAATGCCACAAAAGATAATGTGGATGTTCTTCATGGAAGGTATGCATTAAATGTGCAAAAATTGGCCACTAATCTATTATATCATGAATTAGTTTTCTGCTTCTGGCTAAGAATTTGGTTTCTTTGTACAGGGCTTTGACTACTCCTGTGAAGCTCATCAAATGCTTGAAGTCTATCAAGAAGTATGCCTTTGTTGCATCAGAATACCCTGTTGTTATAACTTTGGAAGACCATCTTACCCCAGATCTTCGACCTAAAGTTGCTAAGGTGAGCCTTTGCACTCTTCTGGTAATCTGGAGCTCTGTTGATCCCACGATTTACAATTATATGGTTGATTTTTAGATGGTCACTAGAACATTTGGAGACATATTGTTTTGTCCTGGCTCAGAATGCTTAAAGGAATTCCCCTCTCCAGAATCGCTGAAGAGACAAATTATTATATCAACCAAACCACCGAACGAAGACCTTGACAGGAAAGAAGTTAAGGATAAAGAAACCAGTTCAGTGGGGGGTAAGGCTTTAGATGAGGAAGAAGGTTGTGGGAAAGAAGTTCCAGATGATAAAGATTTTGACGATGGAGACAAGTCACAGCTTCCAGCTCCAGAATATAAGCATTTGATCGCTATTCATGCCGAGCAGCCTAAAGGTGGATTGGATGATTGTCTAAGGGTGGATCCTGATAAAGTTATACGTCTTAGCTTAAGTGAACAGAAACTTGAAAAGGCTGTAGTAACTCGTGGAAAACAAATTGTAAGGTAGACATGAAAAATTTTCTTAAACTCAAAAACTTCAGTTGTCGTCCAAGAGATTGTCTGCATCACTGTATTCAAATATTGACTTATTTTTTGTCTTGAACGTGGTAGTTCCAAGTTCTTATTATTTTTGTTCTTGCTACAGGTTCACCCAACACAATTTGCTTAGGGTGTATCCCAAAGGTCAACGTGTGGATTCATCAAACTACAATCCAATGATTGGATGGATGCATGGAGCTCAAATGGTTGCATTTAATATGCAGGTTTGCTTTTTCCTTTTTTTCCCCTTATCCAATTTCCTTATGGATGGAAGCTGCTTTCTATCATCTATTTATACTATAGTGCTAACACCACAGCTAAAGAATAGTTACATAGGTAAGTGTGCTAATTCCTTATGCTTATAGCTCATGGTTTGAAATGTTCGAGGATAGACAGTGGAAACTTGCCCAAATAGGAGTTCCTTGTATCAATGCACCAATGATGAATAGAGCACATGCCTCTGACTGATGATATCTTTATGTGCTTCAGTCATCGTTGGTTTTACAGTTTTGGTTCAAGTTCAACCATTGTGTAAGATGCACTAATATGATGGTCTTTATGTTAGGGTTTTGGAAGATCATTGTGGTTGATGCATGGGATGTTCAGAGCCAATGGCAGCTGTGGTTATGTGAAAAAACCTGATTTTTTATTGAACTCTGGTGAGGTTTTCGATCCAAAAGCCAGATTATTACCAGTAAAAAAGACTTTGAAGGTTTGTGCTTTTATTGCCATGGCTTTTGACAAAACTTCTATGAAGTAGTTTTCATAATATTCAATAAATGATTATGGTCTTCTTGCTCCTTTAAAGGTTACTGTATATATGGGGGATGGATGGTGCTACGACTTCCGTAAAACACACTTTGATATATGCTCCCCTCCAGACTTCTATGCAAAGGTAAGTTCATAATCTGTCTCATCATTTTGTTGCAAGCACCAAGACGCTAGATCATATTTATTGGTGTCACTCGGTAAACCCTATTGAGGATCATTGTCACCGAGTGGTTTCTCTAGGTTGAGATTGCTGGTGTTCCAGCTGACTGTGTGATGAAGAAAACAAAGACAATAAAGGACAACTGGGTTCCTGTTTGGAATGAGGCGTTTGAGTTCCCTCTCACCGTTCCAGAACTGGCTCTGCTTCGGATAGAAGTTAACGAGTACGACACGACTTCCAGGGATGACTTTGGAGGCCAAACATGCCTACCTGTTTCAGAGCTAAGAAGAGGAATCCGAGCAGTTCCCTTATTCAATCGTGAGGGGGCCAAGTACAAATCTGTTAAGCTCCTTATGCGGTTTGATTTCCTTTGAATATAATCTTTTAAATGAGTTCCAATCCTCCATCCCCTCGGGGGAGGTGGATAGTCCATGAAGCTGCCATCAACTAGCATTGAAGTATTTTCATTCTTGTTTGCTGTGTGATATACACCACCAGAGTAAAATCTGCTCTGCAGTTTCTTCTATGAGTTTGTGGGAAACCACCTGTGTTTGTACTTGTAAATTTGTGATGTAAGGTGTGATGAGAATTCTTATTGATGAGAATTCTCATTCTGATCCTCGGGCATATAAGCTCAGTATATGTATATTTAATTTTAATTAATC